CCCAGAGGCCGGTCGGGGACTTTCCGCACGGTGGGACCCGGCGCTGTCGCGTCGTCACTTCCTCCTCGAAGAGGCTGCTCCAGAGTCGGACGCCCCCATTCTACAGAACGCGGAACCGGGACTCGGAGTTAGAAGCGACCCGGACCACCCGGATGATACAAGGGTCTGCCCCGACGCCTGTGTCTCGTCCCGGCCCGCACCAGCCGCCCCGCTGCCCTCAGCGCTCCCGCGCCGCGGGCACCGTTTGGACACGCGCGCGCAGGCCGGTGCCTGCGCCTTTAAGACGTGCTCCGTGGTGACGTCACCACGCACTGGCCCGGCCGACTGCGAGCTCCCCTGCGTTCTGGGCCGGCGCCTGCGAGGCCACGCCCCTCCCGCCGCGGGCTCAGAAGGGCAGGGGGACTGGTACAAGGCAGAGCCGGGATGGACGAGAAACTGGGTCTCCACTTTGCACCTCACCGACAGAAACAGCCCCTGAGGCGCCCAAGAGAAGCGGTGGCCCATGCCCAGGCTAGGCTTGAACCTGAGACCCGCCTGTCTCAGCCTCCCAGCGCCCTGGAGTGACCCGCACCGGGTGTCCAGCAGAGATCTTCTAAGATCCCTGCAGGACCCGTCACTGCATGTGGGTGCTCATCTGAACGCGGGGCGCCACCTGGGGCCATGCGGGATCCGCAGACGGTTTCGGCCACCGTCTTCCCGCCAGGTCAACGTTTTGAGCATCACTGGTGTGAGGAGCGGGAGCCACCCAAGCGCACTGGAGGGGACAAGGGGCACCCGTAGGCCTGGGCTGCTGGCGCCCTGAGGCTCACATTGTCCGGGTCCCCAGCCGCCTGAGCCCAGGGCTGCTTTACCACCTGGCACACATCCTGCGTAGTTGGGCCGGACCACATCCACTCGGGGCCGCAGATATTTATGGGTGTGAGCAGGGCTGGGGTTTGGGTGACTCCTGCAGCACCTCCGAGCCAGCTCTGCGAGAAATCCAAATTCCAGGCCTGAGGCTAAGTGTCTTTGCTTTGAGGCAGGGCCTTGCTGTATAGCCCAGGCTGGCCTGGAGCTTGCAGTTTTCCTGCCTCAGCCTTCCCATTGCTGGGATCAGAGGTGTGCACCAAAGCTACGCCCACCAAAGGCTGATCTTTGTTTCATTGGTATTTTTGGTTTTTGAGTCAGGGTCTCACTGCAGTTCAGGCTGGCCTTGAACTCACAGTGATCCTCTTGCCTCAGCCTCCTGAGTACAGGGATTATAGGTATGCACCACTACCCTTGGCCAAAGCCTGATCTTTGAATCCTAGTGGGTTGGGGAGATGGGGCCGCCTTCCCCAGAACAAATACAGGAGCGTGGATGGGTTCGCCTGCCAGGTTTGGGGAAGGTTCATGGGGTTCCTCAGCTTAGGCAGCCCCTTTGGTGGAGGAACCCCCAAAGTCTGCTCCAGCTGCAAACAGCGGGGAGTTGGGGCCTGGGTGCCCTGCCTTGCCACTGCAGAGTTTTTTGAGTGAAAGCTTATGGGGGAAAGGCACCTCCGTACGCGTGTGACCTTCATAGGGTCAGGAATGTGGGAAGCTGCCTTTGTTTTGAAGGTTTAAGAACAGAGGTGGGGCTGTGGTGGCCCACACCTATAGTCCCAGCTCTCCGGAGGCTGAGGCAGGAAGACTGCCAAGTCTGAGCCCAGCCTGGGCTACCTGGTGAGTTCAAGGCCAGCCTGAACTGCAGAGTGGGAGGCAGTCGGGGGTGGGGGCAGAGGGAGGGGAGGGGTGAGTCCGGACTGGCCTAGCTGGGGACGACGTCGCCTGTGACGCCCGGGCCAAGGCAGCCTCGGCCAGACGGGAGTCCTGATTCTCAGCGCCCAGCGCGACCTGCCAGGCCAGCCTGGGTCCGGACCCCGTGTCCGGTGGGGCTCCGGGCTGAAGCCTTGCTGGAGGGCGGGGCGTCCGCGACCAGGGAGGGGGACTGCGGGGTCCGCAGCTCAGACATCCCTAACCCTAACCCTAACGCAGGTGCACGGCGCCCCCTGGCGGGCGGGGCCGGCAGTTGGGCCGGAAGTAAGGCCGCCCTGACCCGGTCCGGGAGGCGGCAGTGAGGAGGCGCTTGCCTGTGTGATTCGACCCGAAGGCCGGCTCTGCCCGACTCTTGTGGAATGGGTTGGACCCAGGGCCTTCGCACAGCTGCGCCCCAGCCCTTGTTTATTCTTTTTCATTTTGAGACAAGTAGCCGGGCATGGTGGCGCACGCCTGTAATCCCAGCACTGGGGAGGCTGAGGCAGAAGGATCGTTGCGAGTTGGAAACCAGCCTGGGCTACAAAGTGAGCTCAAGGTCAGCCTGAACTGCATAGCGAGACCCTGTCTCAAAAAGACAAAAAAAAAAATTGAGGCAGGGTCTGCCCGAGTCACTAGAATGCCCAGCAGGGCTGGAACTAGGATTCTCCTGCCTCAGCCTCTGAGTGCTGGCAGTATAGATCTGAATTTTTATTATTTATTTATTTATGGTACCGGGAATCGAACTCAGGACCTTGTGCTTGCCAGGCAGGCGCTCGTGCCCGGCCCAGATCTGAATTTTTAAAGAGCCTTGCAAAGGACCTCGAGGCCAGGAGGCCATACAGTCCGTGCCCACCTCCTGGAGTGCAGGCTTCTGTGTGCCCCTCCGAGGGGTCCCCTGTTGTTACAAGCCAGGCTCAACGCGGGAGGCGTGGGGTCAGTTGGCCACCAACCCCGCTTGGCTAGCTCACGGAGTAACAGTGGTGCACAGGATAAAGATTCACAGAGAAGCCACATGTGGTGGCGCACACTTGTAAGCACAGCACTGGGGAGGCTGAGGCAGGAGGATTGCCACGAGTTTGAGGCTAGCCTGAACTGTGCAGTGAGACCTCGTTTCTTCATCTGTAAAGTAGGAAGGATGTGTCCCTGCCCCTACCTCCACCTCCTTCCCGGGGCTCTGAGGAGAAGGTGGCATCGGCCCTGTGTCTGCCCCGCTCCACCAGGACTCCCAGCGAGGCTGCGGCGAGCGGGGTTTCCACACCGGCCTCTGCCAGTCGCCTCTGGGCAGGTGACAGGGAGCCTTTGCTGTGTCCCGAGATGCCATCGGAGGCCACATGCCCGCCGGGGGTGCACCGGGAGCCCAGTGCCCTGCCGAAGACCGGGAAACAGTCGTGTTCAGGGGCCTCTCCTGGGACTCACTAGAGAAAGGTGGGGTGCAAGGGGGCCGGAGGGGCTGTCCCGCCAACCTGGACCATGGCTCCAGGTGCAGCCCTTGGGGACCCAGAGATGACACGGCTGTGGGCGCAGGGTGACCACACGAGGCGCCGGAGAAGGCCTGGCGCCAGCACACTGGTGGGGCCAGGAAGCAGGGACAGTGCACAGGGACCCGGTCCTCACCTGTGTGAGGTGAGCCTCCTCGGCGAGGGAGGCAGCCTTGGCCCGAGGCCGGCGCACACAGGTCCGGGAGGAGGGGCTGAGGCTGAGGGCTGGCGGTGTGCACGCCCCTGGGGCGCTGGTTCTTCCCCGGGCTGTGTGAGGTCCTCACTGTCCCAGCGCTAAGAGCTGGGGCTGGGTCCGGGTCAAAGAGGGTGGCCACACTGCACCTGCTTCTTGTCGCCAGATACAAAGTGCCTGCGGTTAAGGCTGCTACAAATAAAAGCAGCGCGAAGATAAAAACCCAGGTCCTGGCCAGGCGAGGTAGTGCATGCTGAGAGGCTGAGGCAGGAGGGTTGTGAGTTGGAGCCCAGCCTGGGCGACATAGAAACTTGGTGTGACCCTGTCTCAGGATTTTAGAATTTTAAAAAGACTGCTGATGTAGTTGGGTGGGAAGGCCCTGGGTTCAAGCCCCAGCACCGCCAGAGAAAAATAAGCCAAGTCTGGGCTCTTCTCCTGCCCACGCCTGCCTCCGGCTCTTGGCTCTGAGCGCTCAGCAGCCAGCCCTGCCGAGGCAGGTCGTGGGCAGGTGTGCCTCACAGCCACGGGGACGCACGACACTGGCCAGGCCACCACATGGGCCCTGCCAGGAGGGCGCAGGGTTGAGGTGCGGGCAGGGCCCAGATCCAGGGGCCACCCGGGGACACGTGGTTCAGAGTGCCCCACCCCTGCTCTTTGGTCGGGGTTTTCCCCCTACTCTACAGGGTCAGATTTTATGTTTTTATTGGGTTTTCTTTTTTTTTTTTTTTTTACTTTTTTTTGAGATAAGATCTTGATACATAGTCCAGGCTGGCGTTGAACTCACAGCAATCTTCCTGTCTCAGTCTCTTGAGTGACTGGATCACAGGTGTACACCACCACACCTCATTTGGGATCAGAATTCAAATCATTGATTTTCAAAGTTTAAGCTGTGGGTGGGGACACACGCCTGTAATCTCAGCATGTGGGAGGCTGAGGCAGGAGGATCTGTGCGAGTTCGAGGCTAGCCTGGACTACAAAGTGAATTCAAGACCAGCCTGAACTGCATAGGGAAACTCTGTCTCAAAAAGATGAAAAGATATTCAAAGTTTAATTAGTAGAGTAATCCCCGTCCTGAGCATGCGCCGTGGGATCCCACGGAAGCCATCACCACACACAGGTCCTGTGGGCCTGGGGAAAGTGTGACCCTGTTCCCAGGTAAAAGCCCTTCGGGCCAGAGAAGTGGCCCAGGTCACTGGGCAGGGCAGAGCTGTGACCACTGACTGGCCGGTGCCACGCCATGCACTGACCCTGTTAACCACAGTGTGAGCAAGGCGCGGCAGGGCTGCCCGCCTGTCCCTGGCGGCCCACCCTGCTGGCTTTCCTAGCGGCACTGTTCCCAGCTGTGGCCACAGCCTCTGCCCAGGCACTAGCCCCTGCCCCACCTCCGTCCCTCCACAGGGCGACACCCTCTGCGGTAGTGAGGTCACTCACTGCCATGCTGCTCTTGGGTCCTGGGGTGCAGTGTCCCCAATACCTCTGCTTCCAAGCAGTGCCTGCGGGCAGGTCCCCCACCCCTACCGCACTCGGAGCTGGACTTGTTTTCGTTGCTGTTGTTTTTTTGGAGACAGAATGCCCAGGCTGGGACCTAACTTGCAGTCCTTCTGCCTCAGCCTCCTGAGTGCTGGGAGGACAGGAGTTCGTCCATGTTGCGGTCTGAGGGGACAGAGGCTGGGAGGGACCTGGGCCTTGAGTGAGGACCTGCGATGCTATCTGCAGGGTCCAGAGGAAATGAAAATGCATGATGCCTTGCTCAAACATCAGCACAGATTTCCAGAAGCCAGGTGTGAGGGCACCCACCTGTTGTCCAAGCACTGTGGGAGGCTGAGGCAGGAGGATCGCAAGTCGGGAGTCCAGTCTGGGC